CATGGTTGCGATCGAATACTTTGACGCAAGTGCTCCTGCCTCGAGTACGAGGGTAATATGTGCTGAATTGTTGAAGCACATGTCAATAAGAGGGTGGTAATCGAATCCCTTCTCAGGTTTGAGTTTCTTTTTGGGATTCCCTGCTGGCACCGGCGCTAGATCCATATTTCCCCAGTTGCATACCACTAGGCTTAGTGATACGCTGTCTGGGTTTGAGCCCTCTATGTGTTCTCTCTTTTCGTTAACACCGGCCATCCTATTACGAACTATCTCGTAATGTGAGTCGAGCACCAGTTTGTCTTCGTAGCCAGTAAGAGAGAGAAAAGACGCCGGGTGGCTTGTTCTGGAGTCCTTGATATTGATGTGACCCTTGTTGATGCTCTTGTATTCCTCCAGGGTTGGAGCCTCTGTGGAGCTGGTGTAAGTATTAGGAGGATTATTCCTAATATCATCAAAGCTACATGGATCAACGCCTGGATGGGCTCTCATGAACGAATTCCTTGCGTGGTCGCAATACATGTTGATTTTCTGGACTGCCAAATCTACGTCCTCATGTGTGAGGATGGCCTCGTATAAAACCTGACGCTCTTCTGAGATCATTCCTGCTGACACTTTAGAGGTCTCGAGGCAATCGATTGGCAAGATGCACTCGCACATCTGTTGTTTACCCTGTGGGGTAAGTCGACAGTCTGCACATACAATCGTACCACAGGAATAGCAAAAATAGCCTGTAGGCTGGTTGCAAAGATCGCAGAGAGGATTATCTGGTCGTGTCATCAGCCGTATCCTTTGGTTAAGACTCATGGCTGTCCTGCGTACTCCTACAAATCTCTCCTTGGTAGGAGGTGCAGAGGAGGAAGATGCCGAATCTCTGGGTCTGTCCCACTCCTCTTCGTCAGGAGCCTCAGAATCCTTGATCATGAGTGGACTTCGGATTTTTCGATTCCATCGACTAACCCAGATTCTCTCTTTCATTTCCTGTTGCATAGCCGGGTTAGACGATGACTTCGAGATTCGGTGCTTGCGATTTTCTCGAAGTCGAGCGCTGATGCGCTCATGTTCTCTTACGAGATCTTCCTCATCAGCAGGTTCCTCGTATTCGAGGTTGAGCTTGCTTCTGTTGACTCGATAATAACTTTCTGTTTCAGGATCGAAGAGAACTAGAAATTTTTCCTTCTCCTTTTTAGGAGAATTTGGTTTCTGTGGCTCTTCGTCTGAACTCTGAACATATTCTGCTTCAGGCTTTGGTTGGTCAAGTTTGACCTTCTTAAGTTTCTCTGTGATCTCTTCCGTGGGAGATTCTTTCTTCTCCTCCGACGCTGCAGGTGCAGAGTTCGTCTTGTGAGACGGATTAACATCAACTCGGAGTTCTGAGGATGACGAAGATTTTGAGCTCTTTTCGCTTGATGCCGACTCATCGTCTGATTCTTCGTCACGATCCTGGTTAGGATCCGGTTCCTCAGGTTCCGTCTCTGTTCCAGAAGATTCTTCCTTGGGAGGAACTACGTTGGCGGAAGTATCCTGAACAGGTTCTGGAGGTTTGTGACCTGTCGTTATCTTAAGAACTTCGGTGGCGCTTCTGGTGCCGTCGGAGTTCCAGAGCTGTCCCATAAGACTGTCCGGATCCTTGTCAGCCTCGGCCTGCCGGGCGAGCTTGGATCTCGGATGGATCTCCTTTGCAGTAGTCTCCGTTTTCGGAGGTACCTCACCTGCAGAAGCGGTTTGCTCCAGGTTTGGAGCTGTGTCAGCCTCTGTCTTTGGCAGAGAAAAAGACTTCTTGTGAGAAGATCTAGCCTTGGGAGGCTCTGGTGGCAGATTTCGCTTTGCCACTTTTCGAAGTGCCGATTCGATTTCTCGGCCGTAATTTGCGCACCATTTCTTCGACTCGTAAGTCGCTGACGGCATCTGTTCGGAGCAATGGTCTGCCCACCATGGTCCGATGCTCTTGAGCTCATCGTATTGCGATGATACCCAGAGTGTTTCAGAGGGTGCGAATACGGCGCTAAGAGTACGGGCATGCACTACATCTGGTGTAGCAAACATCCCTACTTGCGACTGCCACAGGTTTGTGACTTCGTTCACTACGTTATTTGCATCGAATACCAGAAGCAGTGCCTTGTTGGCACGCAACATGGTCGGATTGGGATTCGCCAGGTTTAGCGTTGAGAACTGAACAGTGTCCCTGTTGGAACGACTGTTTTCATTCACAAGAGCTTGGAAATCTGGTGCTGTAACCACCTGCGCTAGGAGGTTTGATGGTACCAGACCGTGCCTCAGGATTGAGGATAATGCCTGTAGGTCCGTGGCATGCATGATGTAACAAGGGTTGTTCTGTCGAACAAAATCCTCCATGCCGACGGGCCTCGGCGCGTTAGTGGAGAGACGCTGTGCATGGGACTGCACTGGATTGCTCCCCGTTGCCATGAAGTCTGAGATGGTCATGTGTGACCTTGGTCTCTCTTCTTCAGGATCTGGTTCTTCAGCTCTTGGTAGAGTTCGTCGTGAACCGTGTCCTCCCACTGCCGAAAGGAAAATTTTGCTCATGGTCAACACATTTGCATCCGGTGGGATGTTAACGGCGGCATCTGTGGTTTCGGCCTTGCCATCTTTGTTATAAACCATGGTGACCACAAACCTAGACTTAGTGTTGAGGAGGACACCAAGCGCGATCTCTTGTGGTGTATACTGTGCGAGCTCTGCATCGGCCAACTTGAACATGTCCAGAAGATAATTGTGTTGGCCAGCAAAGAGATCTGGGCGCTGGTTCTGAAGGTGTCTTGTTGAGTGTGCCAACCACCTTCCGACTCTGTTGGTCTTGGAAAGAATGTGGAAGCACATCTCTGGTGAGAGACCTGTTACATCTGCCAGTTTTGGCACTGAGGAGGAATAGTCATATTCTCCGGATCCATCAAGGCTCACACATTGTTCTACCTCCGGTGGGAGGCCTGTCTGAAGGTGATGTGCAAGCATCGTACAGAACTGGCGTGGATCACGAGCGTGATTACCGACGTTGTTATCCCAGTATACAAGGGGACTGTTGTCCCATGGTCCTTGAAGGACTCCTTCGTAGAGCCTGACTCCATGTCTGGAGTTTAGAGTGAGCCTTGCTCCACTCGCATGGCCATATCGTGAGATCAATTGAGCAAGATCTCTTGGATGCGGATTGAACACCTGTTGGTGACCCATGATGATGAATTGAGGCTCGTGATTTTTCTCACGTTTGTGAATTCGGTGTCCACCGTGTTCGGTGTTTCGACGTGATGCTTCCCGACGAGACTCGGGGTACGAGCTATCCATGTGTGGATGTCGCTCATGGTACGCCTGCACTGCCCTGGGTAGGGCGTGTCCATCACGGCTACGGAAGTTTGATCGTGTGCTCATTACGGCACAATGACCAAACAGGATCAGGAACGCTTGGTTAGCCCGAAAGGCTGATTGCTGTGAGGCTCGAGGCTGAAAGCGGCTGCGGATGATACAGAACATATAATTCTCATGAACATGTCCGATCTTAATGAAAACGCAGCTCGCAGACACAAATTTTCTTTTAGACGGAAAACAGTCTAAATAGAAAATCCAGCACATGGTTGTGCTACCAGCAAACGAGACTACCACCATATTCCTTGGCAGTAAAATAATCGGTAAATCTCTGTTGTGTCAGGATATAAAGCATGTTCTGACTACTGCCGTTGTATAGCTGTACTTGGTAGCCCCTTTTGGCACGAGGTGAGTAAAATAAGTAGCCTGTGCCTGCGGTGTGTGTGGTTTGAGGGTTAACCTAAACCCTTGCATGGTAGCGGAGCCGGACGTCTAAGGGACTCCGTGCTCACCTTCTGCGGGTCGCCCCGCGAAGGTAAGGGACGCGGGTAAGCCCCGCTCCCTGGTGGTTGCGGGTCAGCCCCGCACCACACGTGACCGCGGGAAGTCCCGCGTCACAGGAACCAGCTGCGGGCCGATCCGCGCTGGTGTGGGAGCATAGTCCTCCCGAGTGCTGCTTAGGCAGCAGGTAGACCGCCAAGACGGCGGGTCGAGGTCGCGGCAAAGGAAAGCCGGTGACCAAGAAGAAGAACAAGAGGGGGAAAAGAAGTGAAGCGGCCACCTCTAGGAGGCAGGACCGCGGGCAGGCCAGAAGGCTTGCAGCCGCTGAGGAGCGGCAGGAGCCACCAAGAAGCCACAGGGCAGCCGCTGATCCCTCGGCCCGGGGGTCAGCTGAGGCAAGGGGCCGAGGTCGTACTCCGAGGCGGGTGGTTCTAACTTATAGCCTGGAGGAGGCTCAGGAGCGAGACCGGATCCTCGGGACGACCGCGGCCAAGAGCCAACCAAGGAAGCCCAGGCAGACAGAGGCTGGGTACGAGAAGATCAAGTGGAAGAAGGAGAGGCGACGAAGGAAGGAAAGGAGCCGCCTCGACCTTCGATCGGTTCCTCGGGAGGCTCAGGCAAATCGGGTCCTGAGGTCGGTAGCGCCGACACGAAGCAAGCAGGCTTCGGGGCGCAAGAGGGACTTAGAGGAGTTCCTGACCGAGCAATCCGCTCGCTTTGCGCAGCAGAGGTTCCGAGAGAGAGTGGAGACCCAGGAGGCGATCAGGAAGAGGCTTCCTAAGGGCAGTGTGGGCGAGGTATTGCTTAGGCAGCGGGTCGGCGAAGCTTGCAGTACCTGCAGGACCAGGCGTCGCAAGGCCGCCCCGGCTGTGCGCAATTACGTGCTTAGGAGGTTTTCTCCTAAGGCATTGGCCCAAAGGGTTGCGGAGGCCAATCGGCACCGCACCGAGCCCCGACCAAAGGGGACCGCTCGAAAGAGCAAGGCCAAACCAAAGGCCACATCAGCTCCTCTCCTGACGGAGGACGAGGAGAGCAGTGAGAGCTCGGATGGAGATGGAAGCGGGGTTGATTGGGACCCCCCAAGCTCCCCAGATGGCCCAACAGGCGGGCCAGGTTCCGCTGGAGCAACAGCTCCAGCAGCAGTTGCAGCAAACTAACCTGATGCTGCAGCAAATGAACAACAGGCTGGTGACTCAGGAGGCCCAGCTGTTGCAGCTGCAAGCGTCAGGATTGGCAGCCCGGGGAAGGCAGAGCACCTTCGATACCGACATGCCGGGCCCAAGCCATCCACCGGCCCCAAGGGCCGGCCTGGTAGACACCAGGCAACTCGGGAAGCCCGAGGTTTTCAAAGGGTCCACGGAGGAAAGCTTCAGTGACTGGTCGTTCATCTTTGAGTCTTACCTTAGCTGCATCGACTCGAGGTACATTGACCTGCTGGAGCAAGCAAAGTTTTCCAAGAAGAGCTTCCCAAACAGGGCTCTTTCGGATGTGGACCGGGACCTTTCTTGCCAACTCTATTATATCTTGGTGATGCTCCTGCGCGGTAGGCCGCTTGACATCACTTACAACACGGGCCTCGGAGAAGGTCTTGAATCCTACCGGCGCATCTTTGAGGAGTTCCACCCGAGGGTTGCGTCACGCTATGTGGGCACTCTCACAACGTTGCTTTCAAGCAAGTTTGGTGATGATGTTGAGGGGGACTTAGCGGCTTTCGAAAAGAGCGTTCGGAGGTATGAACAGGAGAGCGGCAAAACACTGGATGAGGAGATGCTTTTGGGCATTGTGGTGAATGGGCTAAAGGACAGCAGCCTGCAAAGCCACATCATCCGGAACTCAAGCCGGCTCAAATCCTTTACGGATGTGAAGGCGGAACTTTTGGAGATTTCGAGGACCAACCGCGTCCTGCAGAATCTCCCGCAGCCAATGGACCTTGGAGCTGCACCGTGGAAAAAGGGCAAAGAGAAGGGCAAGGGCAAAGACAAAGGCAAAGGCAAAGGCGACAAAGGGGGTAAAGGCCAAGGCTCAGACAAGCAAAAGCCCCAAGGCGCAAACCCCAACAAGGACCGTGAGTGTTGGTACTGCCATAAGAAAGGGCATGTAGAAGCCGAGTGTCGCAAGAAACAAGCCGATGCCAAAGCCAAGCCCAAAGCTAAAGCAAAAGGTGGCGGGAAGAACCGCACACCTCATGCGGCTAGCCCCGCTGAGGGCGAGGAGGAACCAGAGCCCATGTCTGCATCGCCTCAGGAGCCGGACCTTTGCTTTGGTGTGGTGGCGGCAACGCCCAGCACCGAGGCCAGTGAGACCGAGGTTCTTGTAGATACGGGGCAGGGTCTCACCTGTTTCGGAAAGGGTTTGACTCCGGTGCTTTGTTGGGTTCTCGTGTTTCGGGGCCTGGAATGGTTACCGTTACGGGTGAGCCCTTGGCTAGCGACCAGAGGCTTAGGAGCCAGCTCGAAACCAGTGCTGGGACCTTTTCGGTAGAGTACGCCGAGTCTGAAAAGGTTAGGTTTTCGGTGCTTTCTGCTGGCCAAGCGGCCACGAAAGGCACCTGGACGGTGATTGGCCCCGGTGTGCAGTGTATGGTTCTAGATAAGCATGCGTGTAAGCTTAGGAAAGCCCTAGGAGAGACCAAAGACACGATGCAACTCAGAAAGAAGAGAGGGGTATTTTGGCTCCCAGTGAACGTGGTGAAAGAAAGTGAAAGGGTTGAAGACCCAGACGTGTTAGCAGCTACGAGGGCTGCTAAGAAGACGGTGCCAGCAAAGGCGCTGGCAGGTGAAGGCGAGGAGCCTGGTGAAGCGGGTGACTCCGCTCAGCCGGGCCAAAGCTCAAGTGCGGGCGGCCCCGCCGATGCGGGGAGTTCCGCTGCGAACCCTGGTGCGGGTAACTCCGCCGGTGCAGGGAGTTCTACTGACGGCCCTGGCGCGGGTGGCCCCGCCCAGAGGCTTCCGGAGATTGGCGACGTGCCAATGGAAGTGTCTGAGGCCACGCGGCGGCCGAAGACAAAGAAGATCCCGGACACGGTTAGCAAAGCCGAGTTTGACGAGCATATGCTTACGCATCTGCCCATGCGAAGCTGGTGCGATCACTGCATGCACGGCAAGGTGCGTGAGGATGCGCACTCAGCTCGGGAGCCCAGCGGTCGCACGTCGGAGGTGGCGCGCATCTCCCTGGACTACTGTTTTCTGGGACGGGCCTTGAAGGGCCCAGTGAACTCCGTGGAGGAGGTCAAGGTGCCTCAGGATGAGAAGGATGGTCTCCTTCCCATTCTGGTGATCGTGGACGAAAAGTCCGGTTGTGTTTTCTCTGGTGTGGTGGCTAAGGGCGTTAACCCGTATGCCACTGGATTGGTGACTGAAGCGCTCAAGTTCTGCGGGCGCCAAAAGGTCATCATGATGAGCGATGCTGAGCATAGCATCCGGGCACTTGCTGAAAGTGCCGCCAAGTCCTGGACTGGCAGCGTGCAGCACCAGACTGCACCGAAAGGTTCTCACGCATCTAACGGCGCGGCCGAGCGAGCCATTTTGGAGCTGGCGCGTCAGGTGCGAACTCTTGCGAGCGCGCTGGAGAATCGCTACAAGAAGCCCCTGGAGACTGAGGGGGTTGTCTTTCCGTGGTTGGTGCGGCACGCAGGGTGGCTCATCTCCCGTTTCTTGGTGAAGCAGGACGGGAGAACACCTTACGAAAGGCTTCGAGGCCGGGACTTCCGCGGTGAAGTTGCTGAGTGCTGCGAGGTCGTGCACTACAAGCTTGACAAAGAGAAGACTGGCAAGCTGGACAAGCAAACGTCAGTTGGAGTTTGGCTAGGCAAGTCTCTTGCCTCCGACGAGCACTTCCTGGGCACTGCTCAGGGGATCCGTCGGTGCAGAAGCATCTGGCGAAGGCCAGAAGAGAAGAGGTGGGAGCTGAAACACCTCGAGGGGATGGTTGGGCTTCCCTGGCAACCGCGCGGAGAGCCAACCACCGTGCCTTCAGACAACAAGGCCCCAGCGACTCCAGGTCGCAGGCAGCCCTCGGTGTATATCACCTTGGAGCGTCAGATCAAGCACGGCAAGACACCCGGATGTCCTGGCTGTGAGTGTGACGATGACAACCCAAAGCGGCACAACGACGAGTGCCGTAAGAGGTTCGAGAAGTTGTACCCGAGGCAACCGGTGCCAGGAACGCCTGGTACACCAGTCCCTGGGACGCCTGCGGGACCCATGGAGACTGAAGGAGGTCAGGCCGAGATGCCCCAGGGCACCGGCCAAGACTTGGAGTCGGGAAGCACCGAGCCGAGTCAGCCTTCAAGGCCAAGGGCCATGGAGGGGACCTCTGAGGCTAAGTCAGGCCAGAAGCGAGAGGTTGAGGATGCGGGTGTCCCCGCTCCTTCAAGTGACAGCGGGCAGCGCCGCGTTACTGGAAAGAGCTCACAAGGAGCGAAGAAGCAGAAGACGCCAGAAGCAAGAGGTGAAAAGCGTCCTCTTGAGGACCAGGAGTTGATGGGGGGACTGCCCACGCTCCACGAGAAAGGCGAGTGGGAGCCTTTGTTTGCTTACCCTCTGGACGGCAGAGTGGAGGAGCTTGGTGCCTACGACGAGCGAACAGGCCAGCCCCTTCCCGTTGACAAGGTCAAGACTGCAAGAGGGCGCGAGCTGGACAAGATGGAGGAACACTCTGTCAAGAAGGACATCTCTTGGGAGGAGGCGCGACGGCAGGGGCTAAAGATAGTCCGAAGCCGGTGGGTGGATGGTTGGAAACCATTGCCCAATGATCCGAATGGGGTGCGCAGCCGCTGCGTAGCCCAAGAGATCAACGACCACGAGCGCGACGACGTTTTCAGTGGAACACCGCCGTTGCGGACGCACCGCATGGTACTTTCAGCTGCAGCCACTGCAAAGACTGGCAGGACCAACCGGCGCAAGCTTATTGCCCGGTATGATGTTTCTGTTGCCTTCTTTCATGCGGTGGCCACGGGCAAAATTGCGGTCGTCCCTCCGAAAGATCTCGATCAATCGAAGCTCTGGTACTTGCTCAAAGCCATGAATGGCACACGTGAGGCTTCGCGACAGTGGTCAAAGCGCGTGTGTGAGGTCATGACGGAGGCAGGTTTCTGGGAGGTTCCAGGAATCCCTGGCCTCTTCTACCACGACGAGTGGTGTGTGACCTTGAGCTGCCACGGCGACGATTTTATCGCTGAGGGCGAAAGCGACGATCTGGATCGACTGGATGCGCTGATGATGCAATCCTTTGAGAGCAAGATATTGCCACGGATTGGCCCTGAGGAGTTCGGAGGCCAGACCACGCATGGCGATCATCTGCACCGCATCATTCGATGGAGCGAGCGCGGGTTCACTTGGGAAGCTGATCCTAAGTACTCGCGGCAGATCGTTGAGGAGCTCGGGCTTACGGACGCTAAGAGCGCAGACGCCCCATGTTCTACGGAATGTGGGAAAGGCCGCAGGGATCTCGAAGATCCTTTGGACGCTGAGGCTGCAGCGAAGTTCCGGAGACTCGCTGGTACTGCGCTTTACCTGTCCCAGGATCGCCCGACGATCCAGTATGCCTTGTCGGAGATCACCTCTGGCATGGCAAAGCCTACGGTTGAACACGAGCTCAAGCTCAAGCACCTAGGCCGTTACCTTCTGAAGTACCCGAAGGAAGTTTGGCACTACGAGTACCAGGAGCAGCCTGAGGAAGCTGTGGTGCTTACGGACTCGGACTGGGGAGCGTGCAAGCGCACGCGCAAGTCTATGTCCAGCTACGCTGAGAGATTTGGGAAGCATCTCATCGATGCTTCGTGTGCCAAGCAATCGGTGATAGCGCTCAGCTCTGGAGAGGCTGAGTTTTACGCGTTGGTGCGAGGAGCTGCCGCCGGACTGCTGACAGTGCAGATCTGGGAACGGATTGGGTTTAAGGGTTTGAAGCTTACCCTGAGAACCGATTCGAGCGCGGCGAAGGGAATCGCGACACGCAAGGGCTCGGGCAAGGTGAAGCACTTGTCCATGAAGGAGCTTTGGATACAGGACTGTGTTCAGAGAAAGCAGCTTACGGTGCAGAAGGAACCTACGAAGAGTAACTGGGCCGACTTGGGCACGAAAGCTCTTTCAGGCTCAAGAGTGACAGAGCTAGTCAAGGGCATGCCTCTCACAAGGGGCTTGGTCATGGCGTGCCTGTTCGCGTCCTTTGGCGTGGCTACGGGGCAGCCGAAGGAGCGCCAGCTCGAGACTGAAGACGTTTCCTTCTTCATCTACATGCTGATCATCCATATCTTGGCGATCCAGACCATTTGGCGATGGATCAAGTTTGCGTTTGTGTGGTGGACCACGCCACGTGTTTCAACGAAGCCGGCCCCTACAGCTGGAGGCCGCGTGGACCGACGAGGTCTAGAGGCGAATGCGGGTAGCCCCGTCTACGTCACCCGTAAGGGCAAGAAGTTTCATAGGAGACACTGTAGACACCTGGGCCAAAACCCGTACACGTTGCAGAGGGCTGAGGCTACGCAAAGAGGCTTTGGTCCTTGTACAGACTGCAACCCGTGAGTAGTGCAGGTCAGCTGTCCAGCTCAAGGATTCAGCTGGCCATGGAGGGGTGTCAGGATATAAAGCATGTTCTGACTACTGCCGTTGTATAGCTGTACTTGGTAGCCCCTTTTGGCACGAGGTGAGTAAAATAAGTAGCCTGTGCCTGCGGTGTGTGTGGTTTGAGGGTTAACCTAAACCCTTGCATGTTGAGATATCAATTCCAAGGAAGGCTACCGCTGTGGCGGCATTCTTGAGATTGTCTATGATCCACCGAACAGTGAAAGCTTTATGTTGAAGAAGTTCACGGAAGGGTGGATGAATGTCTGTTTCTGGTAAATTCCCTGTTTCCAGAGCCTTGATAAGCTCATCAGGTTGCGCCGAGTGCTTTGTTAATGCATCAGCTAGGCAGTACTTCGAGCTTACATGAGCTAGGTCATCTAAAGATCCAGAGTTGGATTCCTTACGAAGCATCTGAATGAGGTGGTGAGTTTCCTTCTGCTCTGGAAGGTGTGTCGTGCCTGCTGTTGTCACAAGATTGTTCGCATCTGTTCTGATATGTATGGGTACGGTCTCTGATGAGAGATCTGCCCAAAGTCCCTTGAGGAACAGGCAAGTACCAAAGCAACGCATCAGTGCGTTAAGCTCTGCCACTGTTGTGGACATTGTGGTTGTCGTAATCTTGTGAGACTCATAATCCACCAGGCTACCTCTCGAGGATGTTTCCTTAATAGAGGATTCAGAGAAATCGTTCTTCTTGGAAGAAGCAGCTGCTGCTGATTGTTTCATTCCCTTTAGCTTTGGATTTCGATCTTCAGCAAGGAAAATAACATGTGCTCTCTGAGATGATTTGTCATCATTGTTCCTGTAGGAAGCATCAGGGTAACCGAGGATTCTGAGATTTCCTTTCAGCGGCCAAAAACGCAGTTCTACTTCAGTAGACTTCAAAATCCTAACAAGCTTGTTCAATTCTCGAATATCACCGATAGTAGGCTTGGCAGCCTTACTCGCACACCGACTGAAGCGATAACAGATGTGAGCTTGAGTCCGGCTTTGTAGCCAGTTGATCTGTCCTAAAACACTTCTGTAAGCAGTGTGCTGCTGTGGTGTGCATTGTTGCTCATTGTTGAGCTTCTTATCAAAAACAATTTCCTCTAGAGCTTCAACAGCTAGGTTCTGATTTACTGAGATATGTGCTGGTACCGATGCTGTAGCATCCTTCCAGACTAATCTCTGTCCTACAAACATAATATCGTTCGTGTCTTCAGAACCGACTGCAAACTCCTTTTTGATCGATTCAATCACGGCCTTACGAAAGGTGTCATCACCGGCCATGCACAGGTCATCTACATGTAAACAGACTACTCCATGTACCTGTCTACCCTTGGCATTGTTGCCTGCTATGGGATCTAGGAGATAGTCAATCGCTGATTCCATGGTCTTTGGCTGAGACTTCTTGAGCTCAGCATCTGCTGTTGCAGACTTCTTACCATACAGAACATATGTACAGCGATCCGCACGGGTTGGCACCAGGCCGTAAGACAGGAGTGCCTTATCAACGATGTTCCACCATCTTCGAGGTGCATCGTTAAGTCCATAAGCGGGTTTCTTCATCCTCGCTGCAATGTAGGGAGGATAACCTGCTTCAGGAGGAATCTGACAGATTATGTCTCTCGACTCATCATAGGCTTCACCCTGCAGAAAAGCAGTCTTTAGGTCGATGTGTGTCAGATTCCACAGCTTGTTAGCTGCTAGTTGAATCGCTAAGCGGAAACCTGGGCGACTCGCAGCAGGACTATCAGTTTGCTGTATGTCCTTTTGTCGATCCTGGAAACCTCTTAGGACCCATCGGGCCTTGCACTTAAGGAAGTTTCCGTCCTTATCTCTTTTTAGAGTCAGGACCCATCGACCAGTGACATAATTTCGGATGTTTCCGAGTTTCCGTGTATCGACGAGCTCAAAGACATCATTGTCTAGCCAGCTCTGATATTCTGCTGCTTTCGCTTCATCAAACTGTTTCTTCATCTCACGCTTTTCTTTGGCGGTTGCCTCCTTCCGTTGTGCCTTCTGGGTCAGATTTGCTGAGTTCCTGGGGGAACTTAGGGATAAGGCCTTGTCCTCTTCCGTGAGAAGATCATACTCTTCACGGATGTCAGATCGGAACCTTTTGGTGGGTTTATACCGTGTTCGGTCTGACCTCACTCTTGATGTTACCTCTCTGATGTCTACGGGTCCGCCATGCATGTACCGAGGCATGGAGAAAGAACCTGTGTTACTGCACAGTTTCTGTTCTTCTGTGAGAAGGATCCAGTCCTTCTCATCTACGACCAGGTCACCTTCCTCATCAGAGTAATACCTTGTGTCTTCTGACTCGGCATCGCTCTCCGGTTCTGGTGAACCAGAGGTGTGAGGAGGAGCGGACGGTTGTCCGGGGTCGTCCGGGACCAGTTCTTCTTCAGAATCTTCTTCATCTTGTTGTAACGGAAGAATGGGTCCCTGTGGATGTGCCTTCGGTTTAGGTTTTGGTGTCGGCACCTGTGAAGGTGATTTCTGTTTGTGCGGCGAAACTTTCCTTTCCGATGAAGACCTTGGCGACACATCACCCCCCAGACGCCGAGGAGACGGAACGCGAGGAGGCGGATGCACGCGAGGCTTAGCCCGAGCAGGAGCCACGGGCTCATCGGAGGAAACGGCCGGTAGTCGCGGTGGAGGTATGGGAGGAGGAGGACGCGACGGCGGCGTGCCGGGAGGCATCGGCTGATCTGGTTCCGGCATAGAGACATCGTCAGATGTGATCCGTGAGCGATTAGTGCTCATGGGTTCTGACGGGTCTGACGGCGAAACCTCTTCGTCCGACATGATAACATCCGGCGGTGTTCGCACGGACGGTGAAGTCTTGCCGCCTGTCATCTGGAAGAGCACCCCCGAGAAGGTTGATGGGTGTACTTTATTCCAGGAAACCTGGTGCGGCAAGCAACACGTCATAGTCGAATTGGGCTTCTTCTTGTTCCAGAAGACAAGAACGCCATCAGTTACACTGGTGAGTGCTTTGACTGTTCCAAATGTACCTCTGTATAGAGTACACTGTTCGAAACCAGACCCTGGTAAGAGTCTTGATCTAAGGCGAGTAATGTCTGACACCAAGGCATCAAGGGACGGTGATGGTTTGGAATGATGCAATGGTAATTCAGTTTTACTCGATAAGGAATTTACTCTAGCAACAAGTGATCTGATTTTCGGATCTTGCAGGAGTTTGGAATCCTTGAGAGGATTTGCTGTCAAAAGTGAATACTCTTGGTCAAGAAGTTCCGAAAGTCCCTGGAGGCATTCATCTCCAGAGTATCCTAGTATGTCTGTGACTAAAGAAAGATGAGATGCATATGTATCTCTCTTCAGGAATCTTGCCAAACACGAGGCAAAGGTCTCACAGAATTCATAAGGATACACTTGTGCGAGTTTCGTTTTAAGACCGTAGCCTTGAATACCCTTTTCGTCTCCTGGTGGAGATGTTGGAGATTTCGTTTTGGCAGAATGCCTCTGGAGAGGAGTTAGAACCTGCGGTGGCAGGTTGTGCATGAAAATCGAGGATTTCGATTCATAGTATCCTTTTGGATCTTTCATGCCATAGGCTTGTAGGTTACAGACCTCATAGCTGATCTTGCGGTTGGAAAACAGGCGTTTTGCTTCTGGTGAAGACCAGAGCCTGCTGTAGTATGGGTTCTCAAGAACAAAGTAACGTCCGAGCTTCATTTGGTGGTCTGCGACCGATTCACAGAATTTTAAAACAGAAAGTCTCTTGGCAGAGCCTTTCTTCCACTGTGAGTACCAGCTAGACCACTGAGAGTGATCGGGTGACATAACAATAATAGTAGGTTCTTGTTCCTTGATGATCCTAAGAAGATTGGAGCGACCTTGCGGTTGCTCAAGATCTAGACCACTACGCAAGTCGACTGGCTGACCTACTCGCAGACCTGACAGGGCAGCCTTGTGACTCATACGGGGAGATCCACCGTAGAGTTCTAGGAAGTCAATCTTCCCAGTGCTGGTGACCTGCCAGTGACACTCTTGATGCGGAACCGTTAGGTCTGTCGACTGCAGGGAAGCATCAAAGGTGACCATGCAACTTGCGTGGTCAGAACCTTCTGACGTCAGAGTTTCCTCATCAGGCGCGAGAGGAATCTCCACATCAGATGTTATGTCATAATTTTTCCTCAGTTTTGAGATATTAACGCGGACGATGCGTGTTCCAAGATCCACACCTACCATGGATCCTCCGAGTTCGGAGATCACCTTTCCTTTTAGCCAAGATCCATGTTTGGACCCAGTTGATCCAATCTTAGACTTATCCTCTGACCAGTAGAAAACCTTATCTCCCAAAGAGAAAGGTCCTTCGGTCATTGACAGTCTGGCCGCAAGATCTCTGCGCAGATCATCAGATTGGCGTGCCTCTTGGTAAGCCCTGTTGGCAAGCTCCTTAATGGCTCTCGCAGTGACTTCCGTATCAGTTGGATTACCTGTCAACTGATTGGGATCAGCGTTCTCTGGTGTTATAACATCTCGAGGACGCCTACCAAAGGCCATTTCTAAAGGAGTAACTCCTCCATAGGTAATCGAAGAGTTTCTTGCCAAACATGCTTGTCGAACGAGGTTGCCATACTTCATGGTGATTCCGTTATACTGCGGGTCACCATCCTTCAGGATCTGAAGTATGATCTTAATCTGATGCTTCAGCAATCTTACAGCAGCTTCGGCCCTGTTGGGCCATGGTGTTCCAGGTCCTGTTGCTACAGGCTTGATATTCTGCCGATTGTAATAAGCCTCCATTTTTGGAGTCATGAATGCTTGATCTCCAACTACAACCTTTGGGTTGATCTGAAATTTCTCAAAGTAGTCATTCATAATCGACATTGTAGTATGCTCTTCTTTATCCTGGACTACTTCGGAAGTCAACAGGTTTGTTGCTCCGTCATAGAGAATAAGAAATATTAAGCGACTATTCTTGCCGGGAATTGGAAGCTCAC